ATGATGGTGTTATCTCAAAAAATGTCATTTAACCCTAACTAGGTGGCGCTAGAACCGCCATTTTGAAAAGAAAAAAAGTTGAAGATAACCCCATCGTGTTGGTACTCATTTTAAAGCATTTTTTATCGCGATTACGAATTTTTATATAAAGCTCAAAAATATTCAATTTCGAACCAAACCTAACCTAAAATTAACCTAAATTGATAAAACAAAAAAAAAATCTTTTCTAACGACTAAACCCGAACATTTCTAGACCCAGAACTAGAATCATTCGGGTTTAGCCGTCTTAAGAGACGTGCGGCTAAACCCGAATGATTCTAGTTCTAGGTCTAGTGTTAGTTCTAATGACAGTGCTAGATAGCGCTAGTTAGGATCACTTCGTTATAATCTAATTTTTTTTACAAAAAAGTTTAATAATTATTTAAAAAACTTATTCTCGGATAAGAAATTTCAATGAAATCTCAAGTTTTTTATAACAAATATTATGTAGAACTTCATTAAAACTTCAAATTTTAACCACAAATAGAAGTATAAAGAAAGGAACGTCAAATCAAATTAAAAAAAAACTTTTTTATAACTTTATTTTTGATAACAAAATTTAATGTTAATCCGAAAAACTTTATAATCTAATAAAACTTCATCAAAATATTAAAAATATATTCGAAATAGGAATGTTTCGTAAAAATTTTCGATGTGAAGTTTCTTAGTAATTTAAAAACTTAAAATAATTCAATTTATTCAAAAAAATATCAATAAAACCTCGTTCAAACTACAAATGAAGTTTTTAACGAAGTAATTTTAAAAATCGACATGTTTAAATGAACTCAGAAAACATAAAAGATAACGGATGCCACAACAACAAAAAAAAATTCTTCTCCGCGTACAAAGTAGTCGAGAAAATTATTTCGGTCAACACACAACGGAGCCTCGTCCGTTTCAAAACTCGTCTTCTTTCTTTTTCTCGACGCGTCTCTTTCTACGTTGTGTTTATTTTGTATGTGTGGGGCTTCGTCTTCCATCTCTTTCTTCCTTCAACTAAACTTTATCGATTTACTCATTTCGAATCATAACAAATTTTATATTTATTATTAAAAAAATGTTTTTAAAAAGATTCCTAGATTGTGTATTTGATTTGGATTCAAAAATATCAAGTTGGTTGTAAGATGAGTGTGAAATGAGTGAGATGAGTGAATTGAAGTGGTGGGGATGGTGTCCTTGCGCGCCGTCTCTCGGCGGGACTCGTTTCGATTCATTCTGCCCAGAAGCGAAGCCCCATCTCACTCGTTCGCCTAAATCATCTCTCTTTACAAAGAACGTTACATTCGAACGTTTTGTGAGGGGAGTTGCGGGGTGAGAGGAGCGGGTCGTGGGTGGTTTGGCGTTGACCTTGAAACGGGAAAAATCGAATGGCCCGGGGTTTCGAGTTCGAAATTTATTATTGGGTGGAGGGGAGATCTATACGGTGAAAAAAAATTTTCGATGTAAAAATTATTTGTCGGCAAAGTCACGTTTTCAAACACATTCCTATTATTTAATCACCGCGCGTTTTGTTACTAAGTCAGCGTTATTAAAGAAATTGTAAAACACGAATTTTGCAATTAAATCCCTCGCGAAGCAAAATAACTTGAAAAAAATGCTAACTAACCTAAAAATATTGTTTTTATTTTTAAATTAAACACTCCACTAATTTTTGTTTTCTTCATTTTTAATTATTAATTATTAAAAATCCAAGTAGACTTAGGCACCGAACGATCAGCTTCCACTGATCATAATCCCGGTAGCCGTGGAGTGCTCAAAACAATATTAACCACGCCTTTTCCCCCACCCAAATCAACAAAATAAGGGGAAAAGGTGGTTTCATCCCCCACTTTTTCTTATTCATACATATATATAAATAATTTCTTTGTTTTTTTTTTTTTTATTTCGCTTATATTTATATCATTGATTTAATTCTTTAAATTTTACATTCTTAATTTTAATCATTTTAGAACGTACTTTTCAATTCCATATCGAATTTCTTGGGTGGGGATAAAACGATGATGGCCGATTCGTCGCGACCAATAAAAACGTTGTTGGGCGGGGTCGTTGCGTGGCGGGGGAATTCGCGTTCCCCTTTAAAATTTTGTTACCCCCACCACTACCGCGTTCGTACGCTTGGGGTCAACGTTTCTTCAGTCCGACGGGCCGTGGATGGCGCAGATGTAACTTTGATCGGTTTGTAAAGAGCGCGGCGGAGAGAGAGGGGGGTGGGGAGAAAGAAAAAGATGAAAATGTGGCCTTTTTAAAGGCTTCTTTTATTGTTATAAACAATCGCCGCGTTACGTTTATTTTATTAAATAATAAATTTTGAGATAAGATAATTTTTGTGAAACAATGAACATTGTGTTTGTTTAAATGCGCTTTTTTTAAACATTTATTTTTGTTAAATTTGACCTAACCTAACAAAAAGGTAAAAATGACGAATTTATTGTTTTATTTGATGATATATAAAACACTTAATTCGGATTTATGATGTATCAAGTGTTATACAGGGTAATTGTTGTGATATAAAATTTCTAAATTATCAACAATTACAGCTTATGATATGCTAAATGTCGAATAATGACTTTTGACATATATTATGACATATAATATATTATGTATTTAAGTTATTAACAACAAATTTTAATGATATATCATATACTAATTGCTCAAATTACCACCAAATCGGATTTATGATATGCGCAATGCAAAAAAAAAACTTGTTACTGATATATCAGGTTGCCAAAAAAGTAATGATTATGATATAGCAAATATTAAAATTAACATAAAATCTAGTTGTTGATATATGAAGTGTCTAAAATGTTACCAATTCTAATTTATGATGTGTCGAATTTTTGTTTTTGATGATCATAAAAATGTCATAACATTATAACAATTGTCAGCAAGACTAGGATATAATATGTTAAGTGAAACCATATTAAATGTAATGTTTTTAATAACAATGTCTAAAAACGGTGTTTTTTGAGGATTAAATTAAAAGGATGGTCAAAAGGAATACTTATGGTTTGTTGAGATTGAATTAAGAAAAAAGTTCTATTTGATGATATAACACTTATTAATAATAGTTTTGACATAAAAATATCGTTGATTAAAAATGAAATTCGTTGATGTTTTCTTGTAGGAGATGAAAAATCGTTTAATTTGAGTCCAAACTCGCTGGGGTTATCTCAAAAACTACCATTTCAACCTCAATCGATATCACTACTGATAGCCGCCATTTTGAAAAAAAATTTTCATTGATATTTTCTTATAGAAAATGAAAAATCTGTTTATTTGAGTCCAAACTCGATGGGGTTATCTCAAAAAATACCATTTCAACCTAAATCGATATCACTACTGATAGCCGCCATTTTGAAAAAAAATTTTCATTGATATTTTCTTATAGAAAATGAAAAATCTGTTTATTTGAGTCCAAACTCGATGGGGTTATCTCAAAAAATACCATTTCAACCTAAATCGATATCACTACACTAATAGTCGCCATTTTGAAAAAAAATTTTCATTAATATTGTCTTATAGAAAATGAAAAAACTGTTTATTTGAGTCCAAACTCGATGGGGTTATCTCAAAAAATACCATGTCAACCTAAATCGATATCACTACTGATAGCCGCCATTTTGAAAAAAAATTTCATTAATATTATCTTATAGAAAATGAAAAAACTGTTTATTTGAGTCTAAACTCGATGGGGTTATCTTAAAAAATACGATTTCAACCTAAATCGATATCACTACTGAAAGCCGCCATTTTGAAAAAAAAATTTAAGATAACCCTATCGTGTTGGTACTCATTTTAAAGGATTTTTTGTCGCGATATCGAATTTTTATATAATCTTTAATAAGTAGTCATTTTTCAACTCAACCTATCGAAACATAACCTAATCTAATAAATCCAAAAATTTTTCATTAACATTTTTTTGTTGGAAATGAAAAATCCTTTTATTTGAACCCAAACATGATGGGGTTATCTCAAAAAATGTTTTTTGAACCTAGATAGGTGGCGCTGTAGAACCGCCATTTTGAAAATAAAAAAAGTTGAAGATAACCCCATCGTGTTGGTACTCATTTTAAAGCATTTTTTATCGCCAGTACGAATTTTTATATAAAGCTCAAAAATATTCAATTTCGAACCAAACTTAATCTAAATTGATGCAACAAAAAAAAATCTTTAATATTTTCTTGTAGGAAATGAAAAATCCTTTAATTTGAGCCCAAACATGATGGGGTTATCTCAAAAAATGTTGTTTAACCCTAACTAGGTGGCGCTGTAGAACCGCCATTTTGAAATGAAAAATAGTTGAAGATAACCCCATCGTGTGGGTACTCATTTTAAAGCATTTTTTATCGCGATTACGAATTTTTATATAAAGCTCAAAAATATTCAATTTCGAACCAAACTTAACCTAAATTGATGCAACAAAAAAAAATCTTTAATATTTTCTTGTAGGAAATGGAAAATCTTTAAATTTGAGTCCAAACAAGATGGGGTTATCTTAAAAAAATGTTGTTTGAACCTAGATAGGTGGCGCTGTAGAACCGCCATTTTGAAAATAAAAAAAGTTGAAGATAACCCCATCGTGTTGGTACTCATTTTAAAGCATTTTTTATCGCGATCACGATTTTTTATATAAAGCTCAAAAATATTCAATTTCGAACCAAACTTAACCTAAATTGATGCGATAAAAAAAATTTTTTAATGTTTTCTTGTAGGAAATGGAAAATCTTTAAATTTGAGTCCAAACAAGATGGGGTTTTCTTAAAAAAATGTTGTTTGAACCTAGATAGGTGGCGCTGTATAACCGCCATTTCGAAAATAAAAAAGTTCAAGATAACCCTATCGTGTTGGTACTCATTTTAAAGGATTTTTAATCGCGATGATGAATGTTTATATAAAAATTATCACTTTCAACCAAAAAATTAGAATTTTTTTTTTTAATATAGTAGTTTATTTATTTTTAGGCAAAACATCACGGTCCAACAGGATCTATACAAACCCGTTCGGTCACCATTGGCGCCCGCCCAACCCCGTTACCAATTTCCAACGGCAGCTCCCTCGCCCCATCAACAACAACAGCAGCAACAGCCCCCGACGAGTTTGCCACCGCAGCTGGCCGCCGCGCATCAACTGGTCACCGTGGCCACTCCCGTCGGGCAGCGTTATCTGCAGGCTGCGCCACCACCCCAACAACAACAACAGCAGCCCCCGCAACAACAAGCCCCGCCGCCACCCCTCCCCTCAACCTATCGCGATTATCGCCATCAGACGAGGATATCGTTGCTGCCGCCTCCTGAGTACGCGGGGGGTAGAGGACCTGGGCGGGAAGTATTATTGCAAGGAGGTGCTGCGCAAATCGCTATAGCCGCGGCGGTTGCTCAGCAACAACACCAAGAACAACAACAACAACTTCAGGGTCAACAACCGTTTCCTAAAAAAATTCGATTACAAGATCATAAAGATGTGCAACCTTTACGGATCGATACAAGGGTAAGGAGGAAACTTTATTAAACATAAATATACAGGGTGTCTCACGTAACTGGTTCGTTAGAACTTTTTAAGGTTCCACTATTCGTAGTGGTTTGAAATTTTGGTAGCATGGGTTGTTCATTCAAAAATATGTTGACTTTGATAAAAGTTGTTGGTACCTAGCGTTTTTTGTTTTCGAGTTATTTTGATTTTAAGTGTTTTTTGACAAATTTCACCATGGTCTTTAAGATCACTCAAAAAAACGACTACTCTACAGATGCTGCCAAATAGATTGTCATTTCTTGTATCAGAGTATCTTATACAGGATGGTCAAAAATTGAATTATCGTTTCTCCATATTCAATGGCTAGAAAGTCGAAAATTTTAAATTGAACACCCTGTATTTTTTTACCCTATCAGAAAGGGAATTTAATTCTCTACAAATTATCTATAAACATTCCTATACCTATTTATTGTAGTTTCCCTGATATTGGAAAATTAATCAAAATCAGACATAAAATCCCAAAGCTCGTTTGTGTTTTTGTTAGCAGGCCAAGACATTTTGACAATTCATCGTTTAATTTATTTAAATTATAATTGGTATTATTTCTACAGTTAACTGTGGTTGAATAACCTTTAGCTTGCTCGCTTTTATTTACCAAAAATAAGCAACAGAAAAACGAATTATAAAATATTGTGATAATTTTAACATTTTCTTAGTTCACCGAGAGAACATAACCTAGAATTTGTGACAGAGAGATTTTTTGTTGGTGAAAATCTTATCTTAAACCGTTTTGTTTACTTCCAAATGTATCAATTATTGTAGTTCAGCTCCTAAAGCACATTTTTCATCCATCGTTTGAGGTTTTAACGTTATTTTGAGGAAGAAACCCTTGATTTAAATTTGANAAAATAAGGTATTATTGCATTAGCTTATTATTTTTTAAAACTAAATATCCGAAAAACAAAATTATTGTAATACGTGTAGATAGTTACCAAAGATTAAGTCTAATAACATAGAACACAATTTTATTTTGATTTAAGTAATAATTGTTATGATAAACTGTTTGAACTTCAAACGTCACTCTCTTTTCCTTGTCTGTCACATCATATTTCTGTATTTTTTCTCTCGTTTTTTTTCGTTAAGCATAATGTATGGCTAAATCCTAGAGATAAAAATATTGACTAAGTCCACTTAGTTATTTTCTCCTGTACAGGTTTTTACATTATGGAATTTGAAATTATAAGCATTATTATGGCATTTTTGGACTTGTTCATTTTTTCCAAAAAAATAATATTGAATTTCCTGTACAGGGTGGTTCAAATTCGATGTCCGAATAGGTTATCTCGGAAACTATAAGAGCTAGAAAAAAAGTAGCTTACATGTCATGATCTCGTTTTTCGAGAAACTGTTAATGCCGAAAACCTCAAAGCGCTACCGTCTTTTGTTTTTCCCCTAGAGACCAAAATTGAAAATATCGTAAAACCAGCAAGTGCAATTATCTTCGTTATTATTCTAGGTGGAGTATTATAACTAAGACATTATATGGACACTTTTTTACAGAGAATTTGATGATGTAGACAAAAAAATTTTTTCGGTTTTAGATTTTGAGATATCATGACAATTTTCATTTTTTTAAATGGAAACAACCACTGATTATTCGTTTATTAAATTCTTTATTTTTTTCTGATTACAAAAATATGGGGTTAGATAGGTCTATTTCTGATTGTTTTAGAATAAAGCTAAAAATAAACTTTTTTTATAAAATTTCCATCTAGTGTCGTCGACGAAATTAAATTTACAGTTTCCTGTAAATTACGGTATTATAACTAAAAATTATTCTACTAAAAATTTATATAAAATTTACTTTATTTTCTAATATGTAACATTCTAATATGTTAAACTTTTCGTAATTTTCGTAATCCATCTTAAAAAACAGGATTTTTAAAGTGACACTTCAGAAAATTTTTGAATACAAATGTTGCTGTTTATTTGAATTAAAAAAAAACATATGGCGCCATCTATCAATAATTTATTAAGTCATTTAAGAATAATATTAAATATTAATAAAAAATGTGAAATAATGCAATCTATTCCAACTTTTGTATAATTACATATATAAATTAAATAGTTCAACAAATATATTTGTTTCAAATATCAGAAATATGTTTTTTTAATTTTTAATTATAGTACCGTAATTTACAGGAAACTGTAAATTTAATTACTTGAAGACACTAAAAGAAAAGTTAATTTTTAGCTTTATTCTAAAACAATAGGATTTGACAGCCCTATATTTTTATAATCAGAAAAAAATAACGAATTTAACAAGGTTATTTCCATTTAAAAAAACGAACATTGTGATAATATCTCAAAATCTAAAACCGAAAAAATTTTTTTGACTACGTCATCAAATTCTCTGTGAAAAAGTGTCCATATAATGTCTTAGTTATAATACTCCAGCTATAATAATAACCAAGATAATTGCACTTGCTGGTTTTACGATATTTTCAATTTTAGCCTCTAGGGGAAAAACAAAAGACGATAGCGTTTTGAGGTTTTCGACATTGGAACTTATTTAAAAAAAGAGATCAAGACATGTAAGCTATTTTTTTTCTAGCTCTTATAGTTTCCGAGATAGCCTATTCGGACGTCGAATTTGAACCACCCTGTACATGAGCATTGAAACCTAAAAATCTAAAATTTTGGACTTGGTCACATTCTCTTGTATACCGACGATATTTTAGATTGAAAATTTAGAATGAACAAAATTTCAAACCTGTACGAATAGTGGAACCTAAAATTCTAACGAACCAGTTACGTGAGACACCCTGTATACTTCTATATAATTAATTTATGTTTTTAGGAACAATCTGGCGTTTATAATCCTCAAGTAGAAGCGATTTCCCCAACGATTCCCGATCACATACAACAAGAAGATCAATTATTTCGCACCACAAAAGACGAACTCCTCCAACAAATCAGCCGGGTGGATCGTCAAATTTCAAAAGCCGAATCGGAAATAATAAAACTCCGCGAGAAACAAACGGAACTCGAGGAGTCCGCGAAAAAACCCAAAGGCAAACAGAAAGTCGAAGAGGAAACGCAACAAAAACACCAGAGCTTGGCCCAACAAATCTACGCGGAGAACCGACGCAAAGCCCAAAATGCCCATTCGAAATTGGACGCTTTGGGGCCGAAAGCCGATTGGCCCATGTATAATCAACCCTCCGACGCGCCCGTTTACCACGAGAATAAGCGCAAAAACGTCGCGTTTAAACGCCGGTTATTGGATTATTTTAAAAAGAGGCACGCGGAAAAAGACGGCAGGAATTTACACCTAATCGAGACTTACAGCAAAATGATGCAGGATTGGCATAGGAAAGTTGAAAAAACGGAGTCGAGTTCTAAAAGGAAAACGAAAGAGGTTAAAAATCGCGAGTTTTTCGAACGAGTTTTTCCCGAATTAAGAAAACAACGCGAAGATAAAGAGAGGTAATTAATTAATTAATTAATATATTAAATTAAAATCACATATTTGATTAAATTTATTTTTTAGGTTTAATAGAGTTGGTGCTCGAATTAAATCAGAAGCTGATATGGAAGAAATAATGGATAATTTACAAGAACAAGTACTCGAGGATAAAAAAATGAGAAGTTACGCGGTGATTCCCCCGGTTATGTTGGATGGGAAAGAGCGAAAATTAGTTTATCAGAATAATAACGGTTGCGTTGAAGATATGGCGGCCGTCCATAAATCGCGGCAATTCCTCAACGTGTGGACGCAGGCGGAAAAGGAAGTTTTTAAGGAGAAGTATTTGCAACACCCCAAAAATTTTTATTTGATAGCTTCGTGTCTTGAAAAGAAATCGGTCGCCGATTGCGTTCAATATTATTACCTCAGCAAGAAAACGGAAAATTATAAACAATTATTGAAACGATCGAGGCAAAGGACGAGGCATCGACCCCCCAAAACAAACCCCACAGGCGTCGACAATCTACCACCGGGTGTCGTTACAAGACACCAAAAGGTAACTAATTAATTAATCAATTAATAAACAAAAAAAATTGGAGTGTTAATTAAATTTTTTAGGAACAACAATTAAAAACGAACAACACAACTCAACCGAATTACGATCCATCAGACACCTCAACGACGAATCCAACCCAAAACGTTTCAAACACAACAGCGGCTGTAACTCCAACAACAACCTCAGTGACTTCATCTCCATCCCCCGCACCCGCTTCGACCCCAAACACGGTCGTTTCAAGTTCGGGGCCCTCAACGACGTCGACAACGGCAGCAACCACGACGGTTGTTACTGTTAAAACGGAAATAAGTCCCGTTGAGGCGATAACAACGCCGACGGCGGGAAATGGTGGCGAAGAAAAAGTTGATGTGACGTCAGGGGGTGATGCAAAGAAACCCGCTCTCGCCGAAATTAAAACTGAAATTGTGTCTGATGCGACGTCGGTTGTTGATGGGTTGATTGAGGTGAAACAAGAGGAGATAACCGTGGAGGATGTTGTGGTTAAGGAGGAGGTTGTTGTGAAGGTTGAGGAGAGTGGTGGTGATGATGGGAGGTGAGGAAATTAATTAATTAAATCGAATTGTCTTAATAAATTGTCTTTTTGCCTCAGTGGATTAACTGCTGATTATATCTTCTCAAATTAGAAGTCAAAATTGACATCATTCGAAAGCTTGGTTGAGAAAGTAATTATTTTTATCAAAACATTGCCTAATTTATGGTAAATAAGGAAAAATGGTAAAAATGAAAATGTGCACGGAATCTAGTTTCCTGAAAAATTTTATTAAAAAAATTAAAAAGAAATTAAAAAGTTGGTGATTTTAAAAAATGTTGCCTACAAAGGTTGTTCCTTTTTTAACTCTTAACAAGTTTTATTTGAAAAATATTTTGATACAAACAATATTTAGGAAGATATCCTTAAATTTCATTTCTGTACTATTCAGAGGGAAATTAAAAAATTGATAATTTTAAAAAATGGTGCCTACAAAAGTTGTTCCTTTTTTAATTCTTAACAAGTTTTATTTGAAAAATATTTTGATACAAACAATATTTAGGAAGATATCCTTAAATTTCATTTCTATACTATTCAGAGGGAAATTAAAAAATTGATAATTTTAAAAAATGGTGCCTACAAAAGTTGTTCCTTTTTTAATTCTTAACAAGTTTTATTTGAAAAATATTTTGATACAAACAATATTTAGGAAGATATCCTTAAATTTCATTTCTATACTATTCAGAGGGAAATTAAAAAATTGATAATTTTAAAAAATGGTGCCTACAAAAGTTGTTCCTTTTTTAATTCTTAACAAGTTTTATTTGAAAAATATTTTGATACAAACAATATTTAGGAAGATATCCTTAAATTTCATTTCTATACTATTCAGAGGGAAATTAAAAAATTGATAATTTTAAAAAATGGTGCCTACAAAAGTTGTTCCTTTTTTAATTCTTAACAAGTTTTATTTGAAAAATATTTTGATACAAACAATATTTAGGAAGATATCCTTAAATTTCATTTCTATACTATTCAGAGGGAAATTAAAAAATTGATAATTTTAAAAAATGGTGCCTACAAAAGTTGTTCCTTTTTTAATTCTTAACAAGTTTTATTTGAAAAATATTTTGATACAAACAATATTTAGGAAGATATCCTTAAATTTCATTTCTATACTATTCAGAGGGAAATTAAAAAATTGATAATTTTAAAAAATGGTGCCTACAAAAGTTGTTCCTTTTTTAATTCTTAACAAGTTTTATTTGAAAAATATTTTGATACAAACAATATTTAGGAAGATATCCTTAAATTTCATTTCTATACTATTCAGAGGGAAATTAAAAAATTGATAATTTTAAAAAATGTTGCCTACAAAGGTTGTTCCTTTTTTAATTCTTAACAAGTTTTATTTGAAAAATATTTTGATACAACCAATATTTAGGAAGATATCTTTAAATTTCATTTCTATACTATTCAGAGGGAAATTAAAAAATTGATAATTTTAAAAAATGTTGCCTACAAAGGTTGTTCCTTTTTTAATTCTTAACAAGTTTTATTTGAAAAATATTTTGATACAAATAATAATTAGAAAAAGAATCTTAAATTCCATTTCTATACTATTCACAGGGAAATTAAAAAGTTGGTAATTTTAAAAAATGGTGCCTACAAAAGTTGTTCCTTGTTTAATTCTGAACAAGTTTTATTTGAAAAATATTTTGATACAAACAATATTTAGGAAGATATCCTTAAATTTCAATTTTGTACTATTCAGAGGGAAATTTAAAAGTTGATAATTTTAAAAAATGTTGCCTACGAAGGTTGTTCCTTGTTGAATTCTTAACAAGTTTTATTTGAAAAATATTTTGATATAAACAATAATTTGGAAGATAATCTTGAATTTCCATTTCTATACTATTCACAGGGACATTAAAAAATTAATAATTTTTAGAAATGTTGCCTACAAAGGTTGTTCCTTTTTTTATTCTTAACAAGTTTTATTTGAAATATATTTTGATACAAACAATAATTAGGGAGATAACCTTGAATTTCCATTTTAATACTGTTCACAGGGAAATTAAAAAATTAATAATTTAAAAAAATGTTGCCTACAAAGGTTGTTCCTTGTTGAATTCTTAACAAGTTTTATTTGAAAAATATTTTGATACAAACAATTTTTAGGAAGATATCCTTAAATTTCATTTCTGTACTATTCACAGGGAAATTAAAAAATTGATAATTGTAAGAAATGTTGCCTACAAAGGTTGTTTCTTTTTTAATTCTTGACAAGTTTTATTTGAAAAATATTTTGATACAAGCAATAATTGGGAAGATTATCTTGAATTTCGTTTCTATACTATTCACAGGAAAATTAAAAAATTGATAATTTTAAAAAATGGTGCCTACAAAAGTTGTTCCTTTTTTAATTCTTAACAAATGTTATTTGAAAAATATTTTGATACAAGCAATAATTGGGAAGATAATCTTGAATTTCGTTTCTATACTATTCACAGGGAAATTAAAAAATTGATAATTTAAAAAAATGGTGCCTACAAAGGTTGTTCCTTTTTTAATTCTTAACAAGTTTTATTTGAAAAATATTTTGATTCAAACAATATTTAGGAAGATATCCTTAAATTTCATTTCTATACTATTCAGAGGGAAATTAAAAAATTGATAATTTTAAAAAATGTTGTCTACAAAAGTTGTTCCTTGTTTAATTCTTAACAAGTTTTATTTGAAAAATATTTTGATACAAACAATATTTAGGAAGATATCTTGAATTCTACTTTTATATCAAACCTTTTCATTTGATATTTCGCTCATGAAAATCGGAATTTAAATGACAGAGTTACAGCTTGCGGCATTCTTGTGTGACAACCTGTATATACAGGTGTCTTTTTTCTGCTAAAACTACATTTAAAATGGATGTATTATACATCAATGGATTCAGAAAGACAATCTCTATCCAATGACGTGAAGAAAAATATACGCAGCAATTTGAAAAACAAAAGTTAGTAATTACTTGAAATTGAAGATGGCGTTGTAAAAAATTTATTTGTAGCATGAATCATAGTATTTATAAAACCATTTTATTTGATA